GAGTGGCTGGTGGGTTTGAACCACCAGCCTTCTGGTTAGCAGTCAAGTGCCTTAGGCACTATGCTACCAGAGCTCCTAAAATAGTGATTAATATATACTGTAATATATAATTTGACCACCATAAACTACATCAAAAACCAAACCAAACCCACTGCCATCAAGTTGATTCTGACTCATAGTGACCTCCATAGGGTTTCCAAGACTGTGAATCTTTATGGAAGCAAACTGCCTAATTTTCTCTTGGCTGGTGGGTTTGAACTACCATCCTTTTGGTTAGTAGCCCTATGCCTTAACCACAGTGCCATTAGAGCACACTAAGCTGTTTTAAGTCTTTTCTTAAAATTACTTTTTCTTAAGACATTGACCTAAATATATTCACAGTGGAACTGTATGTACTGTTGTTCAACCAGTCATAATATTCAAAGGCAGAGAATTTATTTTTAAAAGGAAATACATACATAAGTCAGTTTCTTTCAAGCATGGAACCCTTTTAAAGGTAACATATTTTCACAGACATTCCCCCACCCCACCCCAGCCCCACTATTGACATAAACTAGTATGATGTTGCTTTTAAATGTGTATGGTCATAAAATGAGGCATAAACTCCCCAAGTTTATTTTACATTCACTGCTACAAAACCAAAACAGATCTATAAAATTCAAGTTAAAAGCAAAAAGGAAATGTATAAATGCTGCTTTATATCAGAAATTTTAGTTGCCCAGAATTAATTACCAGGAGCTCTGGTGGCAAAGTGGTTAAAGCATTCAGCTGCTAACCAGAAGGTCACTGGTTCAAACCCACTAGCCACACCACAGTAGAAAGATGAGGCAGTGTGCTTCCATAAAGATTCACAGCATTGAGAACTGTATGGGGCAGTTCTACTCTGTCCTGTAGGGTCACAGTGAGTCAGAATCTACTCAATGACAATGGGTTTGGTTTTGGTCAGAGTTAATTACAGCATATGAAAAGATCATTAACTGCAAACTCTTATCACTTCAGACCCCTTTATTTTTTCATTGACATGTTAAACAAGTTCCTGTATGGTGTAACTAAAATACCATTTTGTGTTTTAGAGATTTTTTAATTTGGTGTAACTGGCATAATTCTCCAGTTGGGATACTTTGGCTTAGTTAACATTACGCCATTTCAGTGAATTTAAAATATATAAGTAATGTCACAGAATGTATGACCATTATTTAAACAAATAAAAATATTATTACAAGTACTTCCTGGGACTAATGTTTGAGCTTATTATTGTTTATTGTTATTCAGAGTGTTTTTTTCTTCTTTTTGAAAGCTTGAAGGTAATCTTACTACTCTTTTGAACTTATGTGAAAATAATAGCACTTTGCATTTTGATCTTGTGACTACAGGGTAAAGGAAAATAATGGTAAATTTCCCCACAGGAAATTAATTAAATTTAGTATTTTCAGTATAAATTCCTACTAGGCAAGTGAGCAAATGATAGCTGCAAGACTAGAAGCAAAACTTGGGAAATAAGTCTAAAAGAAAATTAGTAAAAGAATTGTGAAATGACTCTAAGAGAAGAAAAAGTCAAGAAAATTAAATAGCAGTTTTTCCTATGCTCAAAAACAATTCAAAGAAGCTAGTGAATGTTTGTCTTAATACTGATAAAAAGAAATGTGCTTAAATAAGAAGTAATTTTATGTTAAAATACAATAATCACTATAGATTTATGACATAACTTTATTCTAAAGATTTCTTTCCCAAATTGTATATATATTAATAAGTACCATTTGGTCATAGAAGTTTCAGAAACTAAGAGTATTGTAATCTTAGAGACAGGACATCTATTAAAGACTTTGAGAACTTCTAGCTATAGAAACTTCTATCGAGAGAACTTCTATATACAGCATTTTTTTAACCTGTTTTGTACTATTTCCTAAACATATTTAATCACAGAATTTGTTTTCCTCCAACAATAATTACTATTTCATGAAACAATTTGGGAAATGATACTCTAAAGAAATTATTCCTTAACATATGTATTGCATGCTTCCTAAGTTTTCCTGTGACTTGAAGTTTAGCAGCAATCAGCTATATGATCTACATTTCACTGTATCTCTAATGCATGATGAATTACTTAAACTAAGCACAAGTTTGGGGGCTCTGGTAGCATAGTGCCTAAGGTAATTGACTGCTAACCAGAGGGCTGGCGGTTCAAACCCACTAGCCACTCCTCGGACAGAAGGTTGGGCAATCTGCTTCTGTAGTGATAACTCCTTGGAAACCCAAGGAGGAGTTGCTATGGGTCGGGTGCGACTCGATGGCACATAGCAACAACAAGCACAAGTTAATGACTTGAAACCCCTGAAAAGTTCACAGTGTATAAGAAATACACAAAGTGATTGAGGCTAGGTGTAATAAGAGGAAAAAGCCATGTTGATATTTACAGGGACAATTTATAAAATTGTTCTTTCTAGTTCCTACCTTTTTACAGAACCTTTTGTCTTTGTTGTATGCCATTGTGTTGTCTCTGACTCATAGTTACCCTTCCTCGGGTTCCCGAGGTGGTATCTCTACAGAAGTTGATTGCCGGATCTCTACGGAAGTTGATCTTCCTTCTGAGGAGTGGCTGGTGGGTTTGAACCACCAGCATTCTGCTTAGCTGTCAAATGCCTTAGGCACTAAATAAAGCTATATTCATTTTACTTTATTCTTCCAAATATAGTGAATATTTACCTTAAAAATCACATTCTGCACCATTTCTTCTACATTGTCATCTTCAAAAACAGAAGGTCCATGAAAAAAATAAGTACTCTGTCATCTATTGTTTAAAATATAACTATCAGTAAGTCTTTTATTATTTATTTATTTTTATTGTGATTTGGGTGAAAATTTACAGAGCAGATTCACTTTCCTTATAGCAGTTCACATACACTTTGTCTCATGACATTGACCACAATTTACCACAATGCAACAGCTCCCCTCCCACTTCCTCCTGATAATTACTTCTTCCCTGTGTCCACCTCTCCATCCTCCTGAGCTTTCTCCCAGTACATAAGCAGCCCTTCTTTCTCGCATGATTGTTCTCTCCAAGAAGTGTATCTACCTCAGG